CAAACTGAGTGCAGCCAGGACTGCAGGTTAAAGCCTGTCAGAGAAGGCGGGCATGGAAGCACTTGAGGCAGGCTCATGCCCCCAAATGCTGGGTCCGGGCATGGGAACCCAGAGCTCTGCATAATGGCTGACTCTGAGGCCTCTTCAGATTAGAATGGAGAGGCGGGGTGAGGGGTTAGAATTTTGTCAGCAGGGGGAACTGAACAGGCATACCTAACAGAGGAGACCAGGAGACTGCTGACGTTAGCCTCGTGTTTGGCTCACCCGTCACAAAGCCTTCCTGCTCTCCGGTAATTTAGAAGCAGCCAGTCACCTGCGCAGCTCGGGGGCCCTTGGGAGAGCTTACTGCTGGCAGTATACATGCTTCTCTCTTATTTTTCTTTTTTCAGTTTAGTATATTTGAATATATGTAGCTATCATAACTTTCCCGGTGAACCATACAAGGGGAAGACAGTATGCTCGTTAAAAGATTGCTTTTTATTTCCTAAATGTAGTACTTGTATAATATTTTTAAAAACAGGACAAAATGGAAAGCAGTTCAGAGGCAGTTACACTTCATGAGGAGTGTATGCTGTGGTCCAGTTGCTAAAAAAAAATTGGTGGTAGATCCTTTGAACTCATGTACTGAGTAGGAACTTTATTTTCTGTCATTACACGGTTAGTAAACCTGGCAGTTACTCCCTCCTGAATCCCTCTTTCTGTACATTGACTTTGCTGCTTAGTCCTTTTTTTGGATTTGAGCCCTTTGTCATATTTTTGTATTTTTCAGTACCCAGAACTGTTTGCAAACTTGCCCATACGACAAAGAACAGGAATTCTGTTGTATGGTCCTCCCGGGACAGGAAAAACCTTACTAGCTGGAGTAATTGCACGGGAGAGTGGAATGAATTTCATTAGTGTCAAGGTATGCCTTGCATTTATCTTTTCTCTCTTTTATTTATTTATTTATTTATTTATTTATTTATTTTTACTATATATATTTTTTTTAATGGAGGTAAATTTGCATAACAAAGTGGACAAGTCAGTGGCGTGTGATACATTTGCAATGCTATGTGACCACCACCTCTCTTATTTCATCCTATTCCCTGTCCTCCCCAGCCCCTGAGAGCCACTACTAATATGCTGTCTAGGGATTTTCCTGTTCTGGACATTTCATATGAAAGAAATCATGCCGTGTGTCATCTTTTTGTGACTGGCTTCTTTTACTGAGCACGTTTTCAAGGTTCAGCCACATGGTAGCAGGTATCAATACTTCAGTTTTGAAATTTTTTGTATTTTTTAAGGTATGTATTTCTTAGATTTTGTTAGAGTGCGTGTGCGCACATGGGAGAAGAGACAAAGGGAGAGTGAGATAATTACAAGCGGACTCCATGCTGAGTGTAGAACCCAGTGTGGGTCTTGATCTCACAACCCTGAGATCAGACCAAAATCAAGAGTCAGACGCTTAACCGACTGAGCCACCCAGGTGCTCCACTATATATTCAGTTCTTTTTAAAGCCGAATGATATCTCATTGTGTGGGTGTCAGTTTTTTTTTACCCATTCATCATTGGTGGATATTTGGGTTATTTCCACCTTTTGGATCTTACGCATAATGTTGCTGTAAACATTTGTGTGCACATTTCTGTGTGGACATGTTTTCATTTCTCTTGAATAAGTACCTAGAAGTGTAGTTGCTGGGGCATATGATAATTGTGTGTGTGACTTCTTGAGGCACTGCTGATCTGTTTTTCACAGTGACTGCGTCATTGCATACCCCCACCAGCAATGACGAGTGTACCTATTTCTCTATGTCCTTGCCTGTGTCATTTATAGCTCTCGACTGTGGTTTAGTCTCCTATTTGGAAAACTAGCAGCAGCGATCCATCTGTTAGTTAAAGCTGTGCAGGAGGGGGCGCCTGGGTGGCTCAGTTGGTTAAGCTCCGGTCCGGTCTCTTGATCTCAGCTCAGGTCTTGATCTCAGGCTTATGAGTTCAGCCCCACACTGGGCTCCAAACTGGGCTCCACACTGGGCTGTGTGGGAAATTGAATAAGGAGCCACCTCCCTTTTGTAGGGCTTAAGCTGTTTTTGCTTAAGGTAAATCTCCATGCATTATCAAGTAGACTCATGCATAAATACTCAGATAAAAGAGCAAACGACACCTGAAGGGGGAAGAAAAGCTAGAAGACTAGGGGTCAGAGGCTACACAAGGTGGAAGCGGGGTTTTTTGGCTCCGTTCCTTGGTGGCTGTGTTTCACGCCTGTGTGTGCCACACTGTGCCCAAGTGTCCTCAGAAGATGCGTGCGGGGATGACGGGACATACCGGCAGACAACTCTGGGGAGTGCCTCAGTCTGCCACTGGCATGTCCTTACAGCCTGAGGTCCCATATCTTACTTGTATGCTTTCAGCAACCCCGTAATAGTAATTTAGTCATTAGATTTCAAGGGGGGAAGAAATCAATATATAGTGTAGCCTTTTTCAAAATGGATTTATAATCTGGAAGCCAGTTTAGTAATTTGCAGTTGGGTTATGCCTATCCTTCTTATGATGACGTGATTTGTGTGTGTGTGTGAGTTTGTTATATGGTTACCAGCTACCCTGGCCGTGATGGAGAAAGAGTGTAACTTAAAATTTCCTACCTTTTTCTGGATTTTGGAGTGACTGTGGTTATATATACGCTTCTTTTTTGCTTGTCACTGAAATGTACTTTCACTATATGAAGGAAAGCAATCTTCAGGATTAAAGTTTATACATGTTGTTGTAGTTTAGATTGTTCCACTAAGGAGGCCATCTTTGGCTTTTAGTAAACCTTCAAATCATGGTTTGGGATGAATTCTCAACAGAAAGGTTTCAGTAAAGAAATTCTCTCTGGGTGGGTCAGGGTAGATGCGGGGAGACATGTGTCTAAGACAAGGGCCTTCACTGACACCAGTATGTTGCCTTGTTCATAATATTTTGCCTTAGTCGTTTCTTGTTCCATCCTCTGTGGTTCTGTTTAGACTAGGAAATCTCATTAAATACTAGTATATCAATAGATATCTATCTCAGTATTAGAAATTTTTTATTGGGGTCACATATCCTGATCAGTATTTGGTCTTTTTTTTTTTTTTTAAGATTTTATTTATTTAGTTGACAGACAGAGATCACAAGTAGGCAGAGAAGCAGGCAGAGAGAGAGGAGGAAGCGGGCTCCCTGCTGAGAGAGAGCCCAACGTGGAGCTCGATCCCAGGACCCTGAGATCATGACCTGAGCTGAAGGCAGAGGCTTAACCCACTGAGCCACCCAGGTGCCCCAGTATTTGGTCTTTTTGAGGTAATGATTTTTCACTGGAGATCACTTTAGGGCCTATTCAGTTTTGTTTGGTTTTGTCTTTTTTAAAAAGATTTTATTTATTTGAGAGAGAGCAAGCATGCAAGCAGGGGGAGGGGCAGCAGGAAAGGGACAAGCAGACTCCCTGCTGAGCACGGAGCCCAGCACAGGGCTGGATCTCACGGATGCTCGACTGCCTAAGCCATCAGGTGCCCCTGGGCCTATTCAGGTTTGATTTTTTTTTTTCTCCCATTAAAAAAAATTTATTATGTTCAGTTAGGGGATTCTGTAGTGAACAAAACTGCCTTTTTGGAGCTTACATTTGGAACTTACATTCTACTACTGGAGAAAGACCCATTCACTACAGAATATAGCAGACACGGAGGTCTATGCAGGAAGACAAGCAGGACTGAGAGGGTCGGCAGCCAGGCCTTTCTAGGATGTGGCATTCTGTCAGAGAGCTGAGCCCTGAGACTGGGGACAGAGGTACTAGGCACAGATGACACAAGGTGTAGAACCTGTGATAGGATAGTTATTCCAGCCACGTAATTTTTAAAATGTATTTGAGACACCTGTTTAAGTCAAACAAAAATATTGTTTTTAAAGAATTTTATCTCAATTCTAATTTATTTTACCCAATAGGGGCCAGAGTTACTCAGCAAATACATTGGAGCAAGTGAACAAGCGGTTCGGGATATTTTTATTAGGTAGGTTTCCTATGACTATTTTTTAAGTAACATGAAATGCTGAAAGAAAATCATAAGTAGTTATTCAAAGAATCTCCAGGTAATATGAAGCACATCATTACTCTAGATGAAGTTGGCCATATGCAATGTTAATTTTTTTTTTTTTTAAGATTTTATTTATTTGACAGAAATCACAAGTAGGCAGAGAGGCAGGCAGAAATCACAAGTAGGCAGAGAGGCAGGCAGAAGGAGAGGAGGAAGCAGGCTCCCTGCTGAGAGAGAGCCCAACGTGGGGCTCGATCCCAGGACCCTGGGATCATGACCCGAGCCGAAGGCAGAGGCTTTAACCCACTGAGCCACTCAGGTGCCCCTGTTAATTTTTTTAAAAGAGAAACTATTATAGCATTAAAGAGTGAAAGTAAGATTTTAAATTCAAAAACTACTTGGTGTCATTTTAAAATTTCTTTATAAAATAGCAGGAGAATATAAGTCCATATATTTTTTAAATGAACTCTTGTATATCCACCACCCAGTTTAAGCAACGGAACATTCCCCAGAAAGCATTATTACAGATAAAGGCAGTCACCACATGGTGACAAATTTGCCAGGAAGATAATTCTAAAATTGTGTGTATTCAATAAGATAGCTTCAAAATATTTAAGGTAAAAATTGATAGAACTGCAAGGATAAATCTACCTTCATAGTAAAAGATTTTCCTAGGTGTCAGAATATTTAAACAACAGACTCAAGATTGATCTAAGTGTATATAGAACATGTACCCAACAACTGGAGAATACAGTCTTTTTAAGCAAACTGGTATATCTTTTGAAAATTGGCCCCATGGTTCCATACCTAGCAACGGTAAGTTTCAAAGACCCAGTTTACTGAAAACAAGGATAGTTATATACACTTTGCCTTCTTTAAGGATTTGCTATAAAGATTTAAATCAATACATATATGTACAAACATATATATATACACAGTTATTACTTTGCCTTATTCAAATATGAAATACTGTTTTTCCCAGAGCGCAGGCGGCCAAGCCCTGCATTCTTTTCTTTGATGAATTTGAATCCATTGCTCCTCGGCGAGGCCATGATAACACAGGGGTTACAGACCGCGTGGTTAACCAGTTGCTGACTCAGTTGGATGGAGTGGAAGGCTTACAGGGTAATAACTGTAAAAATAGAAATAGCTTATTGTAACAATAATTTCACCAGGATTTAAGTAAAGAATATCTTCCCCCAGGTGTTTATGTATTGGCTGCTACGAGTCGCCCTGACCTGATTGACCCTGCCCTGCTGAGGCCTGGCCGATTCGATAGATGTGTCTACTGCCCTCCTCCGGATCAGGTGACAATTGCACTCAGTCTAAAACCCAACAAATGCTACGCTCTAGCCTTGTGAGCTTTACTTCTGCCTGGTGATAGCTGTCCGTAGAAGAGCAGCTTTAGGCAGGGCCTTAGTCGCAGATTCCGAAGTAGATACGAAGCCCAGGCGTTTCCGTGCAAGTCTGGAAACTTTGTAGCCTCTCACTGTTGGCCGGTTGGAAAAAAAGGATGGAAACTTTAAGTTTCACGTGTCCATGTCCACGTTCCCTGTGTCCAAAGGTCACACACCTCCTTATCCTGGCAAGACTTTTTAAGAATTAAGCATATGACTAGCGAGCGTCCAAGCAGGTTACAGAGAGGTAAGATTTTAACTGTTCCTAGTCTGTTGTCCCACCTCCTGTCCCCAAATTTACAAACTAATGAATTTGTCACTTGTAGTTATTGCTTAAAATTTCTTTTGAAACACTTTGTTGGCTCATTTGCCGAAACCTAAAAAAAAAGCATGATCTGAATAAGGATTTACACTGTGATTTTCATTCATTTTCCTCGGTCTCTTCTGGTAGGGAAAAAGCTCCAGAGGAGAGAGAGTAGATTAGTGGTACATTTTTCAGCTTGTAATGCTTATTAGAACTACAGTTAATTTGTAAAAAATAATAATACAGTTTAAAATAGAATTTAACTTCATTTTATTTGTTAAGTCAATTAGTTTTTCTCCCTTCAGGTGTCACGTCTTGAAATTTTAAACGTTCTCAGTGACTCTCTACCTCTGGCAGATGACGTGGACCTTCAGCACGTGGCCTCAGTGACCGACTCCTTCACGGGGGCTGATCTGAAAGCTTTACTTTACAACGCGCAGCTAGAGGCCTTACACGGACGGCTGCTGTCCTCTGCGCTCCAAGTCAGTCACGGCAGGAGGATGGGGCTGTGGCGTTTTAAGAGAATAAGAGCAGTTTAGTGAATAAGAGCAGTTTAGTGTCAACATGGCAACCTTAAGAAATCCTATTTTTTAACAGCCTTAGTACAACTGTAGAGAAATTTACCTGTAGTCAGATGGTCCATCGTTGGAATCCTAGTTCTGCAGAGAATCTGTAATTAGGAAGTGTTCAGTATCTATTTCTTTACTGTTACCTTTAAGGTTACCTTACTACTAGTAAAAATGGTACATGGAAGGATATTAGTTCAATTGGGTTATCATGAATTAGATAATACAACCAGAAATTTTATTTATTTATTTATTAAATTTATTTATTTGACAGAGAGATCACAAGTAGGCAGAGAGGCAGGCAGAGAGAGAGGAAGAAGCAGGCTCCCTGCTGAGCAGAGAGCCCAACGCGGGGCTTGATCCCAGGATCCTGGGACCATGACCTGAGCCGAAGGCAGAGGTTCCAACCTACTGAGCCACCCAGGCACCCCATATTTTTTTATTTAAAGTATAAAACAAAGAGTGTTTATATTGAAGCTCAAGTTGTCCCAGAACTGGCCCACAGGAGCCACGTGTGGATGGCTTCTGTGTCCTTTCGATATGTCCCCATCATTCTTTGATCACGGACTCGATTCCTGATGAACAAGGTATTCTAGGTTTAACTTACACTTTCTGTACCCCAGATCTATCCTCTCAGGATAGTATTTTAATTTTTGCAGCAGATAATCTGACTTCTGCTACATTATAGACTTGATATTTTCTAGGCAGGGTTTCCCTGTGTATTCCCCCTTAACCCCATTTGATTGGAGGGTCTCACAGGGCCTGACGTTCCTAAGTCAGATACTATCAAGTTTTTGCTGTTTCTTTTGGCAGGCCACTGACGCTCTCCACCCTCTTCATTAACAGAAACGGGTTTATTTTTAAAACACTGCAGTGATAAAGCACTGTATCACAGGGTTGCTTCATCATTTCAGAGTTGGAAGACAGATAAAGCACTGTATCACAGGGTTGCTTCATCATTTCAGAGTTGGAAGACAGATAAAGCACTGTATCACAGGGTTGCTTCATCATTTCAGAGTTGGAAGACAGATTTATACAAATAAAACGCAGAGGCTTGAATCCTAGCTTTGTTACAGAGATTTTGGGGAGATGGTAAATTATGTACACATTCTATTTTTGTAAGATTTACTTATTAAAGCGAGAGAGAGGGAGAAGCAGGCTTCCTTCCGAGCAGGGAGCCCAATGAGGGGCTTGATCCCAGGATCCTGGGATCGTGACCTGAGATGAAGGCAGGCGCTTAATAACTGAGCAACCCAGGTGCCCCTATTTTAATAATTAAAATTTTATTATGTGCCTCAGAATCATTAGAAAATTAGTAAGAGCCCAAGTTTGGTTCAATGCATGTTTCCTGAGGGCTGGTTGTTTTTCTCTAAGTGCCCAGTGCAGCTCCCAGGCCACACCGCTGGTGAGCATAGGCAGTGCTCTCTGGACCCTCCACACAGTCTGGCGGCCGACAGCATTCATCCCAGAGTCCTAGCAACAACGGCTCGTACAGCATGTGCACAGAAAGCGTGCAGCTGGGGCCTGACTTGTGGGACTGTTGTGTGGTTGTGGGAGAACTGTGACCCCTTTGCCATTTGCATCCTATAGTCTGGTCTGAGGGGATCACAGAGGACACAGGGTGGATGAGAACCCTGTTGAAGAACAAAAGTTTAGAGAAATGCCTTTTGTACTGGTCTCGGTGTAGTTTATTTCACAGTTGTAGATTATTTAGATCTTTACAACTGTTGTCCTTTTTGTGTGTTTTAGGATGGGAGTTCCAGCTCCGATAGTGACCTGAGTCTGTCGTCGATGGTTTTTCTTAACCACAGCAGTGGCTCGGACGATTCAGCTGGAGATGGGGAATGTGGCTTGGAGCAGTCCCTTGTTTCTCTAGAGATGTCCGAGATGCTTCCGGATGAATCCAGATTCAACATGTACCGGCTCTACTTTGGAAGCTCTTATGAATCAGAACTTGGAAACGGAACGTCTTCTGACCTGGTATCTCGGGCGGTCGCCTGTGTACAGTTGTGATGTGTAAAGGCGTAGGTTGGTGTAGAAGCTCCTACCCAGCCTCACCTGTGCTTTCCGGTTGGGTCTTCCGGAAAGTAGCCTGGCTTTTCCTTACACGAGTTAGTCATTTCATCCTCGGTGTAAGGACTGCGAGGCAGAGCTGGCAGCGAGAGGAAGCCAAGGAGTTGGGACGATTGCTTGGGGGTTTATCTTCCTTCGTGAGTGGTTTTAAAACCTCTTTAGTAGCAGATCCATTGTATAGGACACCGTTATCATTAAGACAGTTGAAGATAATGAGAAATTTGATGTAACGCTGCAACAAGGAAAACGTTTAGATTTCATGGGGCAGTATCTTAAAATAGCATTTAATACCTGTCCCAAAATTAACAGTGGTTCACTGTACTTTATCAGTATACGTAACATTTTTAGGTATATTTAGTTATATTTTTGGTTTTTGCACATCTGCTTTATTCAGGTTTTTAATCTAAAAGTGAGCCATTTTTATCCCCAAGAGTAATAAGCTCTTGGTTTAACTCTAGTCATTGTTGTCTGTTTCTTAACTTAGTGCAGCTGATCCAGAACCTTATAACTCACTCTGCTGAAAACAAATAAGGCACAGTTGGAACCTTCCCCAGGGCATTAGTGTGGTGGATTTAGTAACAAAGCATTAAAAACACCCCTGTGGCAGTTTTCACCCAGTGGTGGTTTCACAGCATGAGAAAGATGAACAGATTTTGAAAGGCTTAATTTCAGTTAATCAGATGTAAGCTTGTCCATGTTAAGGTTTTACTACTTCATATTTTTATTTTGATCCTTGATACACATATATCCTTTTCTCCCGCTCTTTTCCTCCCTTCTCTCCTGACCACACTTAACCCACGCAGAGCTCACAGTGCCTGTCTGCGCCGAGCTCCATGACGCAGGATTTTTCTGGAGGTCCTGGGAAAGAGCAGTCGTTTTCACGCCCTCCGGTGTTGCGAACAGCCTCACAGGAGGGTTACCAAGAACTCACCCAGGAACAGAGAGAGCAGCTGCGGGCAGAGATCAGTGTCATCAAAGGCAGATACCGGAGCCAAAGTGGAGTATGGCTTGTCTCCCCCCACCCCCGTGACCACTGTAAAGATTGTCAGAATTGTTCTTCCTTTTGTGATGAGTATTTCTGTCAAGGAATGAGCTCTGTTTATAAAGAGACTGAAACACATTGATCAAATAGTCATGTGCATCCTGCTTTGAAACAGTTTTTGGTAATCTTAGGAGAAAGGGAATGTATAGTCTCCCGGAAAATGGGCTGCGGCTTTGCCCATCACAGCCCTAAGTTAACCTTGTGTTTTTTTATTTAAGGAGGATGACTCCCTTCACCAACCAGGACCAGTCAAAACCAGTCTGGCCATTAGCCAGTCGCATTTAATGTCTGCGCTCAGTCACACGAGGCCATCCATTAGTGAAGACGACTGGAAGAATTTTGCTGAGCTGTAAGTACCTGATTCTGGTTCGGAAGTAGGGAGATGAAAAGTTTAAGTGACCAGTCAGCTGTAAAGTAACTTATTTTGAATATGTAAAGGCCCCATCAAAACAATAGCTATGCCTTTAAACACCCCAAAACTTTGAGTATTGAAGTATAAAATGAGTTTTCACTATCTAGTTCACTTGATACTTGTTTTATAATGAACTGATTTAATTTTAAAAGCTTTGTTAAAGCTCAACTAGTTTGCCAAAAATGCCTTCAGATTCATTGACTTGTGGACCGTGGTTCACACACATTTGGGTTTGTAGGCTTCTTGCAGTTGTCTCTAGACCCATCGACTGGGGACCATTCTGGGTCAGGGATTTAACTTTAATTCAGTGCAAGAGATGCTTATTCCTGGTCTTTAGAAGTTAGAGCTCTTTTTTGAGGTGGACAGGTATGTGTACATTGTAAGGACAGAAAAATTTTCCCTTCTTCCCTATGTTCTTTGGCCTGTCTAATAATTGACAAAAGACAGTAACACAAGAAAAATTTCATACATACACGAGCTCCACTAAGGTAGGAAACTCAAAGGCAGTCCAGCCACTAAGGTTTAGACACCATCCTGAGCTAAGGAAAGAGACAGAGGCCTAGGGCTTAGAAAGGGAGGAAGGAAATTTGCCCTGCTCTGCAGTAAAAAAAGAAGTCCTCTCTGGTAAATTGGGAGTCTGTACCAGAAAGCAGGCCACTTTAATTCATCTAGGTAGTTAATGGAGATTAAAAAGCTTTACCCGAGTCTGCGGGGTCTTGATTTCCTTCAGCTCAACATAGTCCACATGCCAAAGAGGCCCCTTTTGGGGTGGCATATTCTACTCCCAGTAAGTACATATTCTTATGTGTTTATCGTAGAGAAATCAGAAAATTTCCCTTATCCCCCCCGACCCAAAGCATATATTTGTGCCTTTTTTTTTTTTCCCACTAAGCCACTTTGCACCTGGTGTTGTATAGTCTTCCCTCGACATCTTGAACATTCTTTCACATTTCATTTATCTTTTTTTTTTTTTTAAAGATTTTATTTATTTGACAGATGGAGATCATAAGCAGGCAGAGAGAGAGGAGGAAGCAGGCTCCCTGCTGAGCAGAGAGCTCGATGCAGGGCATGATCCCAGGGTCCTGGGATCATGACCTGAGCCGAAGGCAGAGGCTTTAACCCACTGAGCCACCCAGGCGCCCCTCTTTCACATTTTTAAATGTTACTTTGTTCTTAATGTCGCTTCATAGGGTGGCTCAGCCACAATTTCCAATATTGCTTCCAGGGTTTCACCATCACACAGTGCGTTAATGAACATCCTTGGAGCTGAAGGTTTGCACACTGAGGTCGAATTGTTACCCTGCAGGATACACACATTTTGTAAAGGCTGCTTGCCTTCCAGACACACCTACAACACCATATGTGGAGAGGCCAGCTTCCCTAACACCGGGCATAATCCTCTCTCTCTGATCT